CTTTGTTACTTGGAATTTCTTTTTTGATTTTTTTGATAGGCAGAGTGGACAGTGAGAAAGAGAGATAGAGAGAAAGGTCTTCCTTTTCCGTTGGTTCACCCACCAATGGCCGCTGTGGCCGGTGCACTGTGGCCGGCGCACCGCGCTGATCTGAAGCCAGGAGCCAGGTGCTTCTCCTAGTCTACCATGTGGGTGCAGGGCCCAAGGACTTGGGCCAACCTCCATTGCTCTCCCGGGCCACAGCAGAGAACTGGACAGGAAGAGAGCAACAGGGACAGAATCCGGTGCCCTGACCGGAACTAGAACCCAGGGTACCAGTGCCGCAGGCGGAGGATTAGCCTATTGGGCTGCGGTGCCAGCCAATTTACTTGGAGTTTCAATACCTATTTAACCTGTCATAGTTTTTGGTTGGTACTTTAAAAAACATGTGCTTTTATTCTCTTCATTTTTCTTTTAACATTTTAGCCCACATTGTTTTATTTAGAGTTCAATGTATGTTAATTTTTTTCTTAAGGTAAATTAAATATATATATATGAAATTATATATATATATATTATTGTGGAGAGACATTGACTCGAGTTCTACCCTCTTAGTAAAGTTCTGAGTATACCAGACAGTATTGATGGCTACAGGTGCAGTTGTGCAGCAGATCTCCAGAACTTAGTTCATTTGGCTTAACTAACCTTGCTTAACTTCATTTTGCTTAAGTAAAACTTTATGCTCATTTATTCCTCATTACTCCTCATTTCCCTCAAACTCTGTCTCCTGTTACTTTATATTTTTAAATTGTTTTATGGTTGTACTAAAGGCATTTTTTTTTTACAAAAAATGTCTTTTACTTCCAAATGCTATTCCAAGTTATTCATTTACATAATGTATAACAGGATTTAGAGGAAAAATATTTGATGATGACAGCAGCCAGCATAACCCATGTTGAACATTCACCTCATTTAAGTACCATTCTTAGTGCTTTAAATGGAATGCCAAATAGAATCCTGGTAAGACCTGTGAGGGAGGTGGGTATTATTCCACTGGTCTCTAGAAAGAGAAAAACAAATGCTTAAACGAATTAAGTGATTTGCCCACATCACAGAGATGCTAAAGACAAGACTCTGGGCAGGGATTCAGAGTGTCTGACTCCAGAGCTTACCCTCATCATTACGATGGCTATGGAGAGTGTAATTTGCAACTGTACTCTCTATCTACCTGAAAAACAAAGGTTTGTTGGCCTGGCAGTGTCTCAGCATCCTTTTGAATAGATTAGTTCTTCTTCCTTGAAATCATACCTTCCACTTTCTTTTTCTTTTTCTTTTTTTTTTTTTTTTCACTTCCCATATGCTCCTGGTAAAATGCACTATCGATTCCTTTCATTTTCATTCTTTAGGACAATTTCATCATTGCTTCATCCCCAATGTGTCATGACAGCATCACAGTATAACCTTATGTTGAAGCTGAGTGACAAGTATATTGTCATCCTAAATGCATGCCCATATTTATTATTCTTACCACCCAAACAATGGAAAACTATGTAATTCCAAGAAAAATAATAAACGTGGATATTTACTTATTTATTTTATACTAAGGCATAGTTATAGGAGCTATGAAAGGGACAATGCTTATGATTTTGGGATGTACAGAGTCAACTAGTCTACTGAATTTCTTCAAAACAAGACAAAAATCCCAACTACATACACATAAAAACTCCAAAACTAAAAGACCCGTAATTCTATTGCCTATTATTTTTAGTTTCAATTTTTATATTATAGTTTCTCTGTGTTTTAGAAAAACACTAAATCTTGATATATGTTACATTCAGGGCACTAGTCAGGGAAACTTAGATTTTCTTAGTTAAGTAATTATAATGCAATAATGTTGATGAAACTAGTAAGGTTGGTACTTTTGATATGAGAGTAAAAACTGCCTCACAGTAGACTGGCTTTGTTATCAGGCAAAGAGTGTAGGTGGGAAATGTATGCTTTTCTCTCTTTTTTTTTTTTTTTTTTGTACAAGCAGAGTGGACAGTGAGAGAGAGACAGAGAGAAAGGTCTTCCTTTGCCGTTGATTCACCCTCCAATGGCCGCCGTGGCCAGCGCGCTGCAGCCAGCACACCACTCGGATCCGAAGGCAGGAGCCAGGTACTTCTCCTGGTCTCCCATGGGGTGCAGGGCCCAAGCCATCCTCCACTGCACTCCCTGGCCATAGCAGAGAGCTGGCCTGGAAGAGGGGCAACTGGGACAGAATCCGGCGCCCCGACCGGGACTAGAACCCGATGTGCCGGCACCGCAAGGCGGAGGAATAGCCTGTTGAGCCATGGCGCCAGCCCTGCTTTTCTCTTAACAAAACAAATACATTTCTTTGCATAATCCACATACACGCCAAAGAATTTTTCCATATCAATTTCATCTCTTTAGGATTTAATATTAGTACTTGTTTTTTTAAAAATTCCTCACTAAAGCAACAGCATTGCTCTTATTAATCACTTACACTGTTAGAACGTGATCTATTTTCAGAGAATTGTTTTAACATGAAGAGAATTTGTAAACAGTAAGCAATTTTGGTTCAGGACAAAAGAGGAGAGAAATCAACACAAGAGATTAGTACAAGTTAAGTGAAAGCACCTGGAAAGGAAATAAACTTGGCGGCAAAGACAACTTTTTCTCCATTCCTCATAGTTCCCCCAGATCAGTAGTGATCATGTTGATAGCTACCTTTGACTCAAAGCTAGCGTTTATTAAGGTGGATGAGATGTTTGGGAATTCAGAGTGACCGCATACATGAGGCTAGTTCGTGCTTCTCTTTGATGTGACTTCACCAATGCTGTGATCTATACATCTTTGGGGGCCCTCATTCCATCCTTAAGGTCTGATTCTCCATTGGCAATCTCTATCTGTCCTTTGTTAACCTCTGCACACAGTGACTCTCTGCGTCTTATCCTGAGATCACAGCAGATGCAGCTTTAAACAGGGTAGCATCTTGAAGTAGTAAGTAGTGCTTTTATGTTAGCTTCTGTCCTGGCTTTCCAGCATGCAACCCCAAGATAAAACCTGATTTTATCTTAGATACACTGCATTTATGTGAGGATAAACTTGAAGGGTTTCTCAAGGTCAGCATTCATTGGAAAGAGACCAATGCGTCTGGCATTCCTTAGCAGGTAGGAATAATCCCACAACACCCACATTGTCTCAGTTTGAACTGAGCAAAGAAGAGACTACTTGCTGGCTTGGAATGAAGAGCTCATTGATCCTGATGAAATTGCGAAACAGCAAGATTACAACACTGAAGATAATTTTCCAGTTTTGATTGCCAAGGCCCTCTCCTTCCACGTTCCTGAGGGAATCTGTTCCATCCAGGGCCCCATAAAATGGCGGTGTAATCCAGAGCAAAGTAACTCTCAGACAAGGCTTCCACATACACCACGAGGAAGACTGCTTTCTTTAATTGTCTGCAAGTACCAGTTTGAGATTCATAATAATAGCTAAATTTATTGAGCTTTTCCCATATGCCCGCCACTGTGATAAAGATTTTGTATGTCTTAGCTCATTTAATCCTCATGGCAACCCAGTGAGATAGTCACCATTATTAGCTTCTTTTTACAGATGCAGGAAACTCAGGCAGAGGGAGGTTAAATAACTTGACCAAGGGCATACATATTAGAAGAGCTAGAGGTTGGGGAGAACTCCAGGGAGTGTGGCTCTAAAATTCATAGTCTTGCTCCCTGCAGCTTGGAACAGAGGACTCCCAGAACAAGCGGCTGAGGAAAACACTATTCCAGGCCAGGTTTGTATCACAACAAGAGGCCTGCAATAGCTAAGTAAATAGAGAGGTCTTGAAATGCAGCTCTAATTCCTAATGGACCAGAATGAAAGACAGGGAAAAGGACAGAATGAGAGAAAGTTCCCAGGAAGGAGCTTTGTTGTGGGAGAACAGTTTGAAAGGAACTTCCAAGGTCTTACGAGGCTGCTGCTGACTGGTCATCAGGCTGGTACCAGATACGGACTCAGAACAGGGTCTCCAGGGGTCTGGCAGTAGATTTCTTTTGCAGCTGGCTTTTTAGTGAGCATCTGGGGAATGCTTTCAGCGGCTGCACCTGAGACCAGTCAGTGTGTGTCAGCCCGTGGCTTCTCTACTCTCTGTTTTGGTTGTGTTCACTCCTGTCCTTGGGATCTCTGTTAGAATGAGAATTTAGGTGGATGAGACCATTGTGGTCAATTGTTCCCCTGAATCTCTGATCTGCTTGGAGATCAGGGTCAAGACTGTAGTCTCAGGAGAACAGTCTGTGTATGTTCTTCCACAATCCAACCTGAAGTGACAGGCATGATGTTTGCTTCTCTAGATTGATAATTATCTATGAGACATTGTATATTAGATATTGCCATTTAAGTTCCTATTCCTAGAACACATTTTAATAAACTTAAAGTAAAATAATGCATTTTATACAACACATAATGTTGCTTACAATCAGTGATAATAAACATATTATTTTGCATTGCTCAGTTATAACATACAGGAATCTCTTTGTAAAATTAAATCTTCTAATTCCCAAAAGTTTATTGGGTTTCAGTTGACATAGTTCTAGAATCATACCATTTTCAAGCTTATGGTGATTTTGAAACAGGAAAAGAACAAAATGTTTAATAAAATTTATTTCAGAAGTGTTGGGATTTTGGTACTAAGGAATCATTACTTTGGTTTGGTTTATGTTTGAATTTGGTTTGGTTTACTTGTGAGAGGTGGCCTTTTCTTTCATTAGTCAATTTTTTAATAGATCTTTAGGTCATGTTTTCTGGGTTTTATCTACTCATACCTCCCCTTTTCCATTGTTATATAAAAATAGAAGTGATATTTTATCATATCTTAATAAATACAGATCAGATGCTAAAGGCACTCTAAAAATGTGTCATCATTTAATTCTGAGCCTTTGAGAAAAGGGTTGGATCTAGATGTTGTATGTTCAGAGAGGCACAGATATAAATGCCAATTTTCTGTTCTTTTTTTTTAGGTGACAGGCGCCAATTTAACAAACGGTGGGAAATCAGACCTTCTGAAATCAGGAAGCAGCAAATCCACACTCAAGCACATATGGACAGAAAGCAGCAAAGACTTATCTATCAGCCGGCTCCTGTCACAGACTTTCCGTGGGAAAGAAAATGACACAGATTTGGACCTGCGCTATGATACCCCAGAACCTTATTCGGAGCAAGACCTCTGGGACTGGCTGAGGAACTCCACAGACCTTCAAGAGCCTCGGCCCAGGGCCAAGCGAAGGCCCATAGTTAAGACGGGCAAGTTTAAGAAAATGTTTGGATGGGGTGATTTTCATTCCAACATCAAAACAGTGAAGCTAAATCTATTGATAACTGGGAAAATTGTAGATCATGGCAATGGGACATTCAGTGTTTATTTCAGGCATAATTCCACTGGTCAAGGGAATGTATCTGTCAGCTTGGTGCCCCCTACTAAAATCGTGGAATTCGACTTGGCACAACAAACCGTGATTGATGCCAAAGATTCTAAGTCCTTCAACTGCCGCATTGAATATGAAAAGGTTGACAAGGCTACCAAGAACACACTCTGCAACTATGACCCTTCAAAAACCTGTTACCAGGAGCAGACCCAAAGTCATGTTTCCTGGCTCTGCTCCAAGCCGTTTAAGGTGATCTGTATTTACATTTCCTTTTATAGTACAGATTATAAACTAGTTCAGAAAGTGTGCCCCGACTACAACTACCACAGCGACACACCATACTTCCCCTCGGGATGAGGATGAACAAGGGCATGAGACTGAAGCCTGAGGAGTTAAAGGTCATATGGCAGGGCTGTCACCTCAAAGAGGAAGGTCCTATCTGTTGCCTGGAATGTGTCTACACTGCTGCTCTCGTCAACTGGCTGCAAATACGTTAGTGGAAAATAATCCGATGTTATTTCTGCCCAGTCAGCTTCATCTCTCGGTATAGTTGTAATCACCACCCTGGCAGACACACTCTCACATATAGAGGTACACAAACACACACATTTGTGCACATTTCAACTGCATCCGTCATGATTCCTGTTGAGAGGGCTTTCATTGTCTGACTCAATGGTTCAGGATCAACTATCATGCAACAAAAGGATTAACTAGACAGAGAATGTTTCTAACACTCACTGTTATGGAAATCTCTTAAAGTCTTGAGTCCATGCTAATCGATAACCCCACTCATGCATTCCTACTGCTTGGAGTAGCTGTACTGGTAAATACTACTGTAGGAGTATATGCTTGTTAAAATGGAAAAACGTGTCTTAGAGCTCAGTATTCTTTATTTTATGAACACAACAAAGTGTAGTAACTTTTTTCCAGCATATAGTAGGCACATTCAAGGTGATACAAGATGGCTCTTTTTTTTCTCTGGAGGGAGCCTGTTCTCAGTAAAGATGAGCAAACATTTGGAATTTACATGTGGGCAGATGTCGGGATGACAGCTTTCATCACCAGTCTTTGGACTTTGGCGAAGTTGAGAACAGCTAAGGCCACTTAAAACAAGTTCTGATCATTAACTAAGAAGGAAAATTCCTGGCAGACACCATGTAAGTTATAAGTGTCTGTCTTATCTTTACTACACATATTGTAACAAATTCAATATCCTAGTCTTCATTTGTATGAATGGTTTGTATTGTACATAGTTTAACCAAGTGTTATTTGAGCTGCTTATTAATATTAAATTGTACTTGTCTCTCTGCTTGTCATTGGTTAAAAAAGAAAAAAAAGGATATGAGGAACCCATTTTATCAATGTAGCTGTGAACTCCATTAAAAAGACAAACTTAATGTACAAAGCATTTATTCAGCTCAAGTATTGTTGAAAGCTATACATATACAACATTACAGTCTGTCTGTATTTAGATATTTTATTTCTGGATAAAATGAATTGTACATAAAATAAAACACTTAAAAGTTGAGTTTCAATATGTACTTGTGTAAGATGGTGATTTAAATGGTTCTGACAAGAAGAATGTGCTGGAATACAGTCATGCCTTTGCATCTCATGTCTCTGGATTTGTACAGAACTATCTAAATTGCTATTAGATGCCCAGTCAAAACAGCTTAAGAATTTGATTCTCAAACCTGGGAAACAATTGTGGCAGATGGCATTGCACTCATTTTTGGTTTATTCATTCCTGAATACCAAAAGTCAATTATCATACTAGTTCCAGACTATCAAAAATCAATGAGCATAGAGGAGGTAATTGAAATTGCCTTAGTTAATTACAACCTGTTGAATTTTTCCCTGTATAGCATCATTATTTAGCAGAGAGTTTGAAATATAAGTGTTTTTTTCATTTAAAACAAAATCAAGGTATCTGAAGATTGTGGCTGAGTTTCTCTGATTCCATTATATTGACTCAACTACAGAAATTGCAACAGCAGTCGAGGGCTTCCACACTCACTAGACCTAGACCAGCTGGGATAACTGATCTACAAAATTTTGTTTTCAGACAGTAAGCTTTCTGTTTAAAAATAACTGCTATAAATAATCCCAGTAAAGTATACAGACCAAGAAATTTGTAAGGTAATCCATACTTAAAGCCATTAACTGAGTATTAGGATGTGCAGAGTCTCAACAGTTAACCAGAGTTGCCAAATTAAGGGCTCCTATCCTTACCCTCTATTATCTCTCCTTAATGCCTTTTAGATATAAGTTGCATATGGGTATAGAAAATAACAGAAGTACTACAAGAAAAACAAAACCAGAGTTGTAAAGTGAGAAGTCCTTAACTGATCTGACTAAAGACTCTCTTCAACTGCAAGTCAGATGCACATCACTGTTGAATGGTCATTTCTTCAAATCCTCCAATATAACTAGACAACCATTTATGTGATTCATTAATTAATTTGTCACACATTTTAAAATCTGGTATAGAATAGACTCTCTCTGTGACAGACTAGACAATGATTGCTTTGTGAATTCCAGACCCTGGATATAATTGTCACCCATAAATCTTGTTATTGTGGGAGTTTATCAACAGAATCATTTGGAAGTTAGTTGGCTGGTAGGAAACAAGAGAGTTAGAAATGGGGTGGGGTTAATGTTTGATTTAGTGGCCTGTAACTTTTCTTATGTGGCCTGATCTGTGCTTTACTAATTCAAAATTCAAGAGGAGATAAAGAAATTCTTCAATTTCCATGCCGCCACTTGCTCTCTACACTCCCCATGAAATGCCTCTTCCATTTTTATAAAGCTACAGAACACAGCTAATACAGCTATTCTGTGAAATGACTTGTTTGTAGTTTTCCTCCAGAAGAAAAAGAATATAACAAGAAAGCAATTGATCAGCTTCCAACAAGGATTTCATGTTTAATAATTCAGACTGTCAGGACTCCCTTTTCTTGACCTGTGTACACATGCAACCCCAAATCCTACATCATCACCACCTTCCAGCTATAATATGGAAAAATCATGATAGCATTAAAGTTTAGTTCAAAACTTATTCAAACCCAATATATTCTTCCTTTTTTTAAAAGGTTTATTTATTTATTTGATAGGTAGAGTTACAGACAGTGAGAGGAAGAGACAGAGAGAAAGTTCTTCCTTCCATTGGTTTACTCCCCAGATGGCTGCAATGCCTGGAGCTGCGCTGATCCAAAGCCAGGAGTCAGGTGCTTCTTCCCGGTCTCTCATGCAGGTGCAGGAGCCCAAGCACTTGGGCCATCTTCTGCTTTTCCCAGCAGAAAGCTGGATTGGAAGAGGGGTAGCAGGAACTAAAACCAGTGCCCATATGGGATGCCGGTGCCGCAGGCGGAGGACTAACCTACCGTGCCACAGAGCCGGCTCCTTCTTCCTGTTTTATACAAAGAATTGGATAAAACAAGATGGTCAATATGATGACTTAAGGGTTAAGATCAAAAATGACAAACTTGTTGCTTCAAAAAACTGGTAAATTAAGTTTTAACTATGTTAAAATATATTCGATACTTGGGAAAAACAGATTTCATGCAGTAAGAACTTGAAGTAAATGACCTTGCTTAGAATCCTAGTTATTCCACACTATTGGTAAGATATAGGAGAAAACTTCAGGCTGGAAACAGTGTGATACGAACATGGATTTGTCATCATCTGTTCTTTCCAAAACCTTTTTAGTAAAATTGAAATTGTTATGAAGGAACAACATTTTCAACTTCTTGCCTCCTGGGACAAAAAATGACACAAGTTAATGGTTTATCTTTTTACAGCAAAAATAATGAGTTGTCACAACATGGTTTCACATGAGCATTTTTGGGTCTGTGGTTCTGGAGAACTGCTCTGCATGAGTGGAAGGGGCAAAAGTGTTAACAATACATACACTGAAGTTCTGGGAGTGATAATCGTGCACGCAATTGAGATCTGTTAAATTTAAAACTGTGGACTGGGAATTTGCAGGTTCCTATATTTCAGCAATAAATTGTAAGCCATATTTTTGCACAGAATAGATTAAAAAATCATGAGAAGCCTGAGAATGTGTTTTTCTTTTCTCCTTTCTCAACTGCTTTACTTGTAAGAAGCAGCTTAACCAATACCAATAATTCTTTGGAAAAACAATTTGCATCTTCACTATAAATTTTGAATGCCAAGTTTTAGCCTGAAGCAAATATGAATGGCTGTGCTTATAAACCTTGAGAAGACTTGGTTGATGTAGCAGTTGTACACATTTACTCAGGCAGCAATCCCTTTAACCATTTTTATTTTTATCATTTATCCTCATATTGCTGTTCAAATAAAATGCAAATCTGTAGGTACATTCAAAAATTAAAACATATTAATATGCAGAAAATGATTATTATTTACCTAGTTTGTAGATGACAAAACTTGAGTACATTATAGTGTGAATCATATCTGAAAAACTGTTAGGTCAGGCTTTTCTCAGGAGTCCTATGCATATTGAAAAATCATTGCAGGGGCTGGAAACACAGGGAATTAAAAACTGTGGTTTGTCATTGAGTTTATATCCAATAATGTCCAATATATTTGTGAGTTAAACAATTACAAGTACTGTTTACTAGAATGTCAAAAGAACAAATTTCATTGAGAGAGTTTTGTTTTGTTCTATGTACAGAGCCTAGGGTAACAGTCTAAAATTAAGGAATTTTTGGTGCCAAGCAGCTGGCAAAGTGTCATAAGCTTGATCAAAAGAATTTTCCTACTTTTAGCCCTTTACTGAAAAGAAATGCCTTTTAACCCTGAGGGTCGGTTGGATGGTTCCAGTGCTCATGCATGGCTGCAGGAGGCTTGTGTATCTTCTGAAGGTGGTGGTGGTGGCTGCTGTCACTGGGGGTCCAATGTTGTTTCCCCAAATTCTAGACCAGTGAATTAGATGTATAGCTGTGATCATCTCCCCACCCAGCAGGGACTGGCTTTCCCAAATCTACATCAGGGATTCAAAGGACCAACTAGAATGTCACGGCTCTCTGAACACAGGATTCCTCCACTCAAGCATTGGAGGAAACTTGGCTGCTGTGATTGTGAGCATCTACAGAAATAGTGCAAGGCAAATTGTCAGAATGCAGGTGTTGCCAAATAAATATTTTTAAAATAAAATATTTATCATTGTTTCTGTTATTGCCGAAATTCAACCTGTCAATTTTCTGAAATTTTTAATTGTCAAATTATTTTTCTTTCTATTTTATAAAAGATTTTAATGGAAAATATTGTCAAGTGGCATCTCCTAAGGAGGTTCAAAATATTTTATAAACTTTCTGAGACAGGTAAGCAAACATTATTCTCTTACTACTCCCCTCACTCAATGCATTCAAGGATGGAAGACCATGGCAAGGACTAACAAAAAAAGATGAGCCATTTATGGTTCTGAGAAGTCTCCATGGGCTCCCTCGCTTGAGCATTGCAACTCTACAAGGTAGGTGGCCCTGTGCCCCCTTGCAAGAGGAGACTGATGCTTAGAAACATTAAGCAAGCTTCCTGAAGCCGCAGAGCTCGTGGGTGGTAGACTGAGTTAAGTCTCATCTCTAGATTCCAGGGAATAGCCTTTTAAACTGCTACTTCTCTCTGTTCTTTTTCTAATTTTTCAAATTGCATTGGGAGTTTAAAATGTTCACTTTTGTTCACAGGGTTTTTTGTTTTTTGGTAGGTAGTTTTCAGATATTACTCATGTAGTCATTTTTAGTAGGGTCTTACAACGTCTGTGATCACCACTGTCTATGCCCCCATTTACCTCTCTGTGACACGGGAGCCTCCCCTGATTTAAGAAGCTCAAACTCCCAATTATCAGGCATCTGCTTCAGCAAAACCAAAAATCAAAGAAGAAAATTTTTGGAGAATTTCTTTTGAAAATTTGGCAAAGCAGTTGGTTTTGACCAAAAAAATTTTCTCTGTTGCTTTTTCTTTAGCTTGAGTTCTGCATATCAAAAGGGAGGCCTCAAAGGAATTCGGTTATCATTTCCTCCAGTTTTTTGGAAAAAGTTAAGATCCTAAAAAGTCAGTTCATCTCATTGATTCCCCAGCTCAAAATATGTGCTCCTTATTCATGTAATGAGGGAAATTCATCAGTGGAGGCAAGATTATGAATGCTTGTGTGTCCCCAGGAAACAGCCAGGTGAACTTGGGGCCTGAGGGTCTGAAAGCAGAGGTACTTGCTTCTAGAATGGAATCTGAGGAAGCAGCAAGCCTGGTAACAGAGCTGAGATGGCTGCATGGAGCCTGTGTGCCACTGGGAATGGCGTACAGAAGTTCCATGAGAGCAGCTGGAAGTTTTCTGTTGTTGGGAAGAGTGGCGTAAACTTGACAGAGCCCAGTACTTAGGAGGGCTTGAGACTGGGACAAGGAACGTGCAGGAACAAAGTGCCAGGGCTGAATGCTAGAGACCAGTTGGCGTGTGGGTCTCTGGGGAAGCAATATTATTAAGTGCTATCTGCTGCCAACACCATGGTGTTATGCATGTCCTGTGAAAGTTGTATGCAACCTTGGGAATAGATTGGG